ATGAATGATGGAGTTTTTGTCTTGTTTTTCATCTTTCGTTGTTAACAAGGAGGGGCAGCAGCTAGGAGAGACATAGTAGGACCACACAAGACTGTGATATGCTCAGAAGATGAGTGCAGAAAATCAGAGGCTACATAGGACGGGGGCAGGAGGGGTGGATTCTTCTGTTGTATTTATTTATTGCTTTATTTAATGTTCCACACAAAAAATAGTTAAGCTGTAACATTTGACCTGTGGATAAAAACTCCCCCTTCTCCACTGAGCTGTGCCTCAAATTCAAACATCCATTCAGAAACACTCATGGCAGGAGAGTAAATATAATGACGGGGGACTAAACTGAACAAGTTTCTTTTTCTGCAACTGATACAGGCAATGTTGGCTGCTTTACAGGTTTCCACATGCTTGTTCCCTTTGTGAAAGTTTTTCTAGATGCCAGGACTAGTAGCAAGGCAGCAATTCTTATTTAGAAGTTAATGCAGCTCTAGTGTGAATAATAATGATAAATTGAACCATTTTCCCTAAGTCAAAGCAAAGTACTTGAAGCTGGCCAATAAAAGGGTAATTAGAGATTCATAGATTTTATAGACACTAGGGCTGGAAGGGACCTTGGAAGATCAGTGACTCCAGCCCACTATCCCAGATGAAAATATCTGGGGGTTGCACATACTCAGGGTATACTGGGAGTACATTGTTGCACTTACAAGCCTGATTTTTAAACCTAGTGCTTTAAGAATTGATACAACACTTGGTTGACTAGTAGCAGAAAAGGCTTGCTTTAATAACTATGAACAAGCTATAAAACTAAATGACAGAAAAAGGACTCTTTCTTAGTATTCAGTAAATGAGCTATATTACCACATAGTCCTCATATTAGCTGCAGGAGATTTTTACCCAAGCAGGCAGGAAGCGGTTCTTGTCTTTACAGCTTTCACAGACCATGGGTCCTTCACTTCTGAGCTGTTTTTGGGGGGGGGTTTGGGCAGGGGCAAATCCTATCTATCTATCTATCTATCTATAGAAAATATCTGTCTATAGATAGATATAGTTATATATATTTGATATAGTCAAGATAACTATATGATATAGTCAAGATATCATATATATATATATATACACAGTAAAAGCTGCATTATCTGGCACTTTGCCACCCGGAATTGTCTACTAACCGGCATCTGTGATAGATACCATGTTGGTGTTCGGGACACAGCCGAGTGGTGTCACTAGTGGCAGTCTCATCCACCATCTGCCATTGTGATCACATTGTGATCACGTTGAGCTTGTGCTTGTGTTTTTGATCACGTTGTGATCGTGTTGAGCTTGTGCCTGTGCTTTTGCTGTGACTTTATTGCTGAATATCTTGCCCATCCTGCAACTATGGCTACCAGTACTCTGTCAACAAGCGGAGGACAGAAGTGAAAGCATGTTGTTTTGACGATTGCGCAGAAATTGGACATAATTAAACACCTGGAAAAAGGAGAAAACAGGAACAGGTTGATTCAGGAATTTGGTGTTGGCTCATCTATGATCTATGACACCAAGACGCAGAGGGCAGAGTTACTCCAGTTCGTGATGAATTCTGAGATGAGTAAAGCAATTGAGCAACGCCGTACTTTGCACAAACCAAAATTGGAACAATTACGCAAGATATTGTACGAATGGTTTGCCTTAAAACATTTGGAGGGAGCTCCAATTTCTGGCCCAATGCTGATTGAAAAAGCAAAATAGTTCTTTCAACAAATGGGAATGACCGAGGCCTGTGTTTTTTCAGATGGATGGTTGTCTTGCTTCAAACTTTGCCATGGTATCAGAAGGCTTGATGTGTCTGGAGAAAAAAAACCTGCTGATCATGAGGCTGCTGAAAAATATTGTGGATTTTTCCAGAAATTGGTTGTGGAGCATGGTGTATCCCCAGAGCAGATCTATAATGCTGATGAAACTGGCCTTTTTGGTGTTGTTTGACAACTTCTACCCTGCCTGGTGCAGGTGAGGTCGGTGCAGCTGGTTTTAAGCAAAGCAAGGACCACCTGACTGTACTTACATGCGCAAATGCAGCGGGCACACACAGAATCAAGTTGCTAGTGGCTGGAAAATGCAGGTGACCAAGAGCATTCAAGGGTGTCATTCATCCACCTGTTGAGTACAAGGCACAACCTAATGCATGGGTGGACAAGGACATTTTTTTTTTTTTTCTTGGTTTCACCATGTCTTTGTACCAGCAGTGATAGAGCATCTGAAGAAACTTGGAAAGCCAGAAGACAGAAAAGTTATTCTGATTTTAGATAACTGTCAAGCTCACCCTCCTGAAGCACAGTTAGTGTCCGGAAATATTTTTACCATCTTCCTGCCTGCAAATGTCACCTCGCTCATACAGCCTATGGATCAGGGAATTATCAAAAACCTGAAATCCATCTACAGAAGGGATTTTATGAGGAAGCTACTCAACTATGAAGGCAGTCTCTAAGAATTTCAGTCGCAGTTTACCATTAAGGATGCAATTTTCAATGTGGCATGTGCCTGGTGTGCTGTGAAGAGTACAATTTTAAGGAAGGCTTGGAGAAAACTGGACAGCAGTGATGTTTGCAGAGGGATCTTCTGATGAAGAAGAATTTGCAGGTTTCAATGTGAGACATAAAGAGAATCATTAAAAGAGATTCTTGATGTCCTTCAAAACGCTGACCCCACTAACCCACTCACTAAACTCAAAAATACTGAACTTGAAGAGTGGGTGAACAATGATCAAGAGCTTGATGTTGCACAAACCTTTACTGATGCTGAAATTATAGAAAAGGTTGTGCATCCTGATGGATCTACTGCACCTGAACAAGACTCAGAAGAAGAAGACCGCAGTGAAGAAACTAAAGTGGCTTGAGCTACTGCTGCACAATCTCTGGAAACATTCTTGAAATGTGCTGAGCCAGCAGTCTTTTTCTTCTGCTCAGGAAGTGATGCAACTTCATGTTGTGCACAAAATTTTCCTGGAAAAAAAGGCAACTGATTTGCAGGCAGGCAGACGTCCGCCGCTTGCTTCAAAGAGCTTCAGCAGCTTGTGTCAAGGATCAAATATTGCGCTCCGAAGCAGAGCCACGTTCTGAGGCTACCTCTGATCCCAACGTGCCTTCAGAAGCAGCTGAGGGGCAGTAATAGTACAGTATACTATTTACTTTATTCTTCCCTATAGCATAGTTAAAATATTTAAAGTTAAAATATTAGAAGTTGTTAGATCACAGTTAAAATGTTATATTAAAAGTTAATGTTATATTAAAATGTTATATTAGACTTTATTATATCATAGTTAAAATGAAGGCTTAGTTTCTTTCTTGAAAAAAAACTCAGATAACTGGCATATTTGATTAACTGGCATCCCCCATTCCCCATGGATGCTGGTTAACAGAGCTTTTACTGTGGTTATATGTGTGTGTGTGTGTGTGTGTGTGTGTGTGTGTGTGTGTGTATAAATATAGATATATATAGTTATAGATATATATACAGCGTCCCGCATAAGCATTTCTTCTCACACCTTAAAATGCATTTAAAGCCCGCACCCCCATTACAATAGTTGCACTCATCTGCCGTCCTTTCTCTAACACTGTCTCTTAGTTGTCACCCCGATGTTGGGGTTTACATTCTCGGCTTATTCACTGTCACTGTTGCTTCTGCTGCTGCTGACACTGCTGCTGTCATCATCGCTGTCTCGAGGTCCGGTTGTATCGCTGTCATCTTCGTTATCCCTGGCCACTCTCCCTCTCAGAGTGCCTTTGAACAGTCTTTGCCAAGTGTCTCTTTGGCAGGTAGAATTGGCTGCATCTTCTCCATCCTCTCCCACCAATTTCCAGTAGTAGGACTGGAGTTCACTCAGAGCTGGGTGCAGGATGGCTACTTGATCTTCCCTGGACTACACACCTTGCTGGCAGTTTTGTCTTGCTTTTTATACTGTTTTAATTGTATGGCTTCAAAGCATTTCTTCTTGATAGTTTGTTAATCAAAGTCCGAACAAAGCAGGCAAGAACAAAATTAACATATTACAATTGTGTCCTGTTGTTTGGGTGCTTGGTTTGCTTTTGCAAGTTTTTGATCAGTTTGGAATCAAATGGGATTAATTGAATGAGGTACTTTAGGGAGTTAATCCCAGAAATGGAGATAGTGAAGATCAGAGGCCATTGGATACAACAAGTGCGAGTTTCAGGAGAGTACACTGGTTTGGCATAATAAACATTTAAACAGTTGTAAAACTTTAGATAGATATTGGATGTTTGCTTTTGGAAGTATGCCTTAATCAAAGCGGGAATGTCATAAACCGGATATATTTACAGTCACATTTTCAATGCACTTTGGCTTCTCCTCTCTTACAGGCTTTGCTTTGAAGTGAATATTTTAGTTCTTTTGTTTCCTTTAGGGACACACAACTCAATTGAAATGTACATGTAATTTGTAGTTTTCTCTATAGGTCATGTGGTTTTCTAGCTTGCTCTCTGAGTCTTGTTATACACATGTAACGAGCGTGTCAGCTATCTGCCAATACTTTTAACTATCACTTTTATTTTTTAGGCTCAGGCGTGGTAGAAGGTTGAGGACTGTTATCATGACTGTTATCATCTTGTGGCACATGGGTCTGGTATTGAGTACTGCAAGCTCCACTTTCTCTATGGATAATGGGTTGCAGCCATTTGCGGAGTTTGATTTTCTTTGTGGCAGACTTGTCACCACAACCCAATCTTGCCCCAGCCACTGTCCTGCATTTTTTTTTACAAGAGGCAAACACTTGTTATTTTGATCTGGTATTTCATGTCCAAGCTTTTACAGTCATCGTGTTCAAATTCCATGTCATGGAAGAAAACAAAAAATAGTCCCCCTTATTTTTTCTCTGTGGTCTGTCTTTCACCGAATAGAGGAATGGCCATAGTTCAATCCAAAGTGTTACTTTTCAGTAGAGTTCATTGATGTTTTTCACCTATATAAATCAAGAGAAAAGATTCTAACCTGTTGCTGTCTTTTCCTTCTAGGCCCTTCAACAAACCATTAAGCAAGATGCCATCCCTGGGCACTTTAGCCTTCTGCTTCCAATTTCTAATGGTTGCTGCATCTTCCCAACCTTCACTTGATCTGACCCTTGACTCAGCTGTCCATGCCTCAGTGAGTAGCCTTTCCCCGTCTGCTGGTTTTTGGTTTGCTGTAATACCTTGCTTCTGCACAGCACTTCCCAAGTGGGTATACTGACCTCAGAGGAGGCCAGTATCATGATTAAGAGTCTACTCAATTCATGATCCCACGGAAACCATGAAATCCAGGATTGTCCACAAAATCAACTTGAAAAAAAATGTAATAAAAATAAAGGCCTTCAACACTCTCTCTCACCCCATTCTCATTAAAAAATTAGGCAACTGTGGCATCGATGCCTACATTCAGATGGGTCACTAACTGGCTGGAGGGTAACACCCAGAGAGTGGTGGTGGATGGGTCATTTTCGACCTGGAGGGATGTGGGCAGTGGGTCCCCCAGGGCTTGGTCCTCAGCCCCACACTGTTCAACATCTTCATCAACAACTTGGACGGGGGAGTGAAAAGCACCTTGTTCAAATTCACGGATGACACTAAGATGTGGGGAGAAGTGGGCATGCTGGAGGAGAGGGACAGGCTGCAAGTAGATCTAGACAGGTTACAGGGGTGGGCGGACGAGAACAGGATGGGTTTCAACACTGACAAGTGCAAGGTGCTGCACCTGGGGAGGAAGAAGCAGCAGCAGACCTACAGGCTGGGGAACTCCCTTCTTGTCAGTGCAGAGGCGGAAAAGGATCTTGGAGTCATTATTGATGCCAAAATGAACATGGGCCGACAGTGTGGGGATGCGGTCAGGAAGGTCAGCCGTACCTTGCCATGCATTCACAGGTGCATCACGAGCAGGTCCAACTAAGTGATCCTCCCCCTCTATGCGACACTGGTCAAGCCGCAGTTGGAGTACTGCGTCCAGTTCTGGGCCCTGCACTTCAGGAGGGATGAGGACAGCATTGAGAGGGTCTAGAGGAGGGTCACTCGCATGATCAGGGGGCAGCAGGGAAGTCCCTACGAGGAGAGGCTACGGGACCTGAACCTGTTCAGCCTCCACAAGAGAAGGCTGAGGGGGGATCTGGTGGCCATCTACAAACTGGCCAAGGAAGACCAGCAGACTATGGGAGAGTCCCTGTTCCCCCGAGCACTACCGGGAGTAATGAGAAATAATGGCCATAAGTTGATGGAGAGTAGATTCAGGCTAGATATCAAGAAGCACTACTTCACAGTCAGGGTGGCTAGGATCTGAAACCAACTTCCAAGGGAAGTGGTGCTCGCTCCTACCCTGGGGGTCTTCAAAAGGAGGCTAGATAATCACCTAGCTAGAGTCGTTTGACCCCAGCACCCCATGGCAGGGGGTTGGACTTGATCTGCTCTGACGTTACCTACTATGAAACTAAAATGCTGGCTCCCCAGTTGGACCCAGTGGTCCTCACTGCTACTGCAGCCCAGCCCCTGGTGGGGGAGTTAGGTGCCAGGTGGCAGGAAGGGCAACAGACAAGATGGTGGCAGTCCCTCGTGCCTCCTCCCCCAATGGGGCCTCTCCACCAATCAGCACTGAGGGGCGGAGCTTCCAGAACACACCCAGGAAATATCTGTGGAATTTGCTATTTATGCCACAGTCAAGCTGTGAAAATTGTTTAGTTACTCCACGATTTAAATAGACCCTTATTCCTGGTTCCCATTTCATGTGAGGGGGAAACTGAAGACACATTTACTTTACTTACATACCATGTCAGGGACCACCAGAGTGAAGCATGCTGCAGCTACTTTATGCCTGCCACCTCTACAAAGTGTATGGCTTGGCATATGCCAATACACTCTCTTGAGAAAGAGGCATCTAAGAAGGTCTTGTTGGCAGGTATCAGCACCACATTAAGATGGCTACATTACTTTTGTTGTGGGAGTGAATGCATGCAGAACAAGGCCAGTATTCCTCATCCAGGTGCTCTTTGGCATGGTACCTACACAGCAAAGCCCTGGACTGAGGTATTTGAGGTCTTCCCCGAACAACAAGTGTATGCAAAAGTCTGTCACCGTCGGTCTATGACTATATGGTTTACTTTAACTTGCATGATCATAGACTGGGAGTGACATGCACAAATGTTTGCTGGTACTGGGAGCCATGCAGGGAACCTGGTATAAATAACTCAGAGTGGTGGGGAGGGGCAGGCAGGATCATAGGGGCTAGAGGGTCTGGGGGTGGGTTGGTGGGTCTGAGGGGGAGGGAGTTGACAGGATTGGGAGGGATGGTGGTTTCAGGGGGGGTTGGTGGGTCCATGGGAGGGGTTGTCTGTCTGGGGATGGGAGAGTCCAGTGGTTAAAAAAGCCCAGTCAGGGGCATAGGAAAAGCACAACCCCAGGGTTGGGGTGAGTGGCTGGGTTTCCTGACCCTGGGGCTACACTCCAAAAATGAGCAGATGTTCACTGGATGTGGTTAACCTGTTCCCCATCTAAGTTAGTTCACCTACTCAGGTGAACTTAGATTGGGGCTGCCATTTTTGGCCCAGTTTGAATGCCCCAAATGTCTGTATAGATGGGAATTTAGATTGACTTAACCCTAGTTAGGTCAATCTAAATGTAACATCTGCGTGTACCCAGTGAGAAAACTAAGAATAAAGCAGTCTTTCTTTTGAGTCTCTCTTCCACGTCATATCCATTGGACTAAATTGGAACAACTTAAGAGACTGTTGCACCACAGTAGGCCTTTACAATGTTAAGACATAGACAGAGGAATAAAATACTTTAGAGGCTGCAGGAATAACCTACTACAGTCAGCAATATAGCCCTAATTCAATTCATTCAGTGGAAACGAAGCTATTCTTTGTTTTAACTGGCTTCTCACCAGGTTAGACTCTAGGAGGTTTAACGTACTTGAGCTTAAGTCCTTGTTCTATGTACTAAGGCTGGGTAGCAGCTATATGGATACTCTTGTAGACTTTGTCCTGCTCCTTGTGTCTTGGAAGCAGTGCCCAGGGAACATAAATACAAAACTCCCAGTCCTATGCACATACTTTTTTGTCCTGCAGTGCACTGGAGATCTGCCACTTCAGAGCAGACTTGATTCATCAAGTCTGCTCTGCACGCGAGCTGATGCGAACTACGCTACACCGCGTGCAGTTGTATAAGCGGTGAAATGTGTGTCAGTATGCAGAAAATGGCAGCGGTACGCTTTCGAACTAAAGCACCTTCAATGCACCTTCTACCTGTAATCTCTGCCGACCGCCAACCAGGGAGCAGAGGAGAGAGGCCAGCTCAGCTGTGGAGCAGAGAGCCCTGCCCAGCCCGGAGAGCATACCAGGATGCTGGCATTTAGTTTAAACCAGGAATGGGTCTGGGACAGACATTGCATAAACGGGTTTGACCCAAATCAGTTAAGTCTGATATTACATTCAACCAGGTTTATCTCAAACCGGTTTCAGCCATCTTCAAACCAGTTTATGTGCACTGAACATCTGTTCTGTTACAGGTCTAAACCAGTTTCTGATCACTTAAACTGGTTTGTGTGTAATGTCTGTCCCTAGCCCTAGGGTAAAATATGACAGTTACTGATGCAATAGATCAGAAGAGGAACTGAAGGCTACTTCACCTGTCTGAAACTAGGGGGACGGAAGTGGGTTTAGTTCAGTCAATATCTTGTAACCATTGTAGATAAATTTAGCCAGACAAAAGGCAAGTATCATTTTTGAAGGAAAAAAAATATCCCTTGTGAATTGTGATATTCAGGGACCAGCTCTAATCACACTCAGATGGTTCCATGATTTAAAGAAGTGTTTTAAGAGCTGCCAAGTTATTCAGCACCTCTGTAAATAAATGTCTTAGCTAGCTTCAACAAACTGGCAGCACCATGAGTTTCCTGTCTCTACTTGTTTTTAGCCCTTCTTGCTAACAATGATGACAGTGTATTTTGGGGCAGAGTGTAAAAACACGTTCTGCATGTGCTGGCCTGCACTCTGGGTGAACTTGGTTGTGCTGTCTCTTCTGCCACTGCTGCCCTGGTTAACACAGGCTAGGACAGCCGGTGAAATAGGTGGCTGATCTGCTGCCTGACCTGAAGGCAAAAGATTGCAAGTAACTGGGGTGGTCCTTTACAGGAGGGGAAAACCCCTGATAAAATCCTGCAGTAGGGCTCTAGGAGTGGGTGGACCTGACATTGAGATTTTAAACAAGCCAAATAACTGTTTATCTCCTCAACCCTGTGCTCTTTCCCAATCCCATCCTATCTGGGCTGACTTCTCTATTTCAGTCTGGGGCTTCCAAGAGCCCAAGCTCCCCCTTTCTGCATCCATATCCTTGGCAGGAATCATATGGAGCAGGGCACTCACCGGCAGCATCCTCCCACTACTGCTACATCTTCTCCTCTCTGCTGTGAAAAGACTCTGTCGTGCCCCAGCATTGATGCAGAAGGGGGTTGTAGTGGCAGGAAATTTGGTCTAGCGGTTAGTGCCTGAGCTAGGGGCAACCATAAATTCATAAGATCAAAAGGGACCTCAAGGCTCATCTAGGCCAATTATCTATGGAGATGCAGGATCCCTGTTCCTTATGCTCACTTCTCTGCTCTGCCATAAACTTCCTGTGAACCTTGTGTTTGGCACAACTGAGCTCCTCAAAACACCCATTCAACTGGTGCTCAGGTTTCCACTGGTGAGCCTATGCCAAGCTACTTACGCTTTGATACACCCAAGTTGCTGAGTGACCTACCTAAAGCCAAGCCCTGGCAGGAATCTCAGCCAAGAGGTTCCTCCACCTACCTTGGTGGTGGCCCCAGCCTGGTGAGCTCTCACTGAACCTAACCCCCAACACAAGACAACTAGCAGTGAACCTATATGAGGAAGAGCCATTCTCTCCTCACATACTCAATAGCCTAACAACTAAAGCACTCATCTGGGGGCAGAAGAGCTAGGTTTGAACCTCTGTTCTGCCTGATTTTTAGCAAGCAGTGGGAGGCAGGTCTTGCATCTTGCAGCGAGGTGCTCTAATGAACAGGTTCTTGGGAATCCTGGCATGAGTCTCTTAATTTCTTCTGAAGCTGCCTACCTTGTAAAATCAATTACAGTAAAATTGAGTTAATTAGTCATAGGGTCAACTTGCCATAAAGTTCTTAGAGTTGGTACACTGAATCCCTGCCAGCGTCCCACTGATTTGTTCATAAAACAATAATTCATCATGTGTTCAAGCACAATTAGTCATTTCCAAATGCACACACCTAGTAAATCACAATGGAATTTGACCCTGATAATTAGCCAGAATAAGTGATCTATGCCCTGTAGAGCACCTGTCAAACCAGTTGATATTTGCAGAGCACTGAATACTCTTTAGTTTGTCATGGTTCAGCAAGACATAGACAATCAACCATTCCATTTTATAGCTTTATCTTCTATTTTAGTGATGAACTCATGTAAGAGTGCACAGCAAAAATCTTTGGCTAAAGCACTCTAAATTTTTGTAATAATTTTTTAACATATACTATCTCATCCATATAATCATACAGTTCTACATTAGCAAGCGTGTGCACAGCTTGTGTTCAGATATATATATCTATATCGATATAGATATCTATTAGGGTGGTGTGAAATTTCACCGGCTGTTTCGTTTCAACACTGTTTCGACTCATTTTGAGGTCGAAACAGTGAAATCAAAATGAAACAAAGGGCTTCAAAACAGCCTCGAAACAAAACAAGGCTAGTCGCAATGTTTCAAAACTTTCAAAATGTTTCAAGTTTCGAAGCAGCCAGCAGCTAGGTGGTGGGAGACAGGGGAGGACCACGGCTGTGCTCCAGGCTGTGCCAGGCGGGGAGCGTAGCCCTGGCTCTCCCCGCCTCCCACGGCCTGGCTACAGGAAGCCAATCAGAGTGCAGGGAAAGGGAAGTCAGCCCCAGCTCAGTTCCCCTCCCCAGCGCTGCAGTCAGGCTGGAGAAGGGAACTGAGCTGGATCACTCAGTTCCCCTCCCCAGCCCTATGATTGGGCTGGGGAAGGCTGATCAGCCCAGCTGAGCAAAGTTCCCCTCTGAGCTTGTTTCCCCAGCCTGATGGTCGCACTGGGGAGGGGAGCTCAGTTCAGCTAGGCTGAGTTCCTTCCCCCAGCCTGATGGTAGCACTGAGCTCAGCGCCAGTTCCCTTCCCTAATTGATCCCAGCACTGGGGAGGGGAATTGAGTGATGGGGCTCAGTTCCCTTCCCCAGCTCCCCGGTCTCAGGTGGCATCCCTGCCTCATCTGGCAGGCAGATGAGGGCCCGCAACCCCAGGAGGACTGACACAGCCCCTGCAGCCCTCCCAGGGTGGGGCCCCATCTGCCTGCCGGATGAGAAAGGCTGTTTCGAGCTTCCCCATTATAGCCTATGGGTGAAACATCAAAACATCATCAAAACGGTATCACTGTTTTGACTAAATGAAATGGAACAGCAGTTTCAAATTGAAACAAAATTCGAAATAAAACACTGTTCTGTCGAAACCTCAAAATGCAAGTCGAAATGTAATGGTGCTGTTTCACACAGCCCTAATATCTATATTGATATAGATATAGATATCTATTTCTATATAGATATATGGATATATATCTCCATCTCTCTGTCTCTCTCTCTCTCTCTCTCTCTCTCTCTCTATATATATATATGTGTGTGTGTGTGTGTGTGTGTGTGTATATAACACATCCAGAGAGAGGGGATGATAATAATCCAAGAGTGAGTAATTATTCAATAATAATAATCCAAGAGCGACTAATCTATATATATATAGAAGGGCCCTTCACCCCTAGCCGCTGACAGACAAAACTCATGACACGGGTGCTTGTGGCACCGATTGTCTCTGTCTTGAGGCAGTTGATTGTCTGTATTTATTCGTTCCTCTCCTTAGTGTGAGGTTTTGTATGTGTTAATAGTAGTTAATTAACTAGTTACATTAGCTAGGTACTGTGTATTGAGCTGGTCCCTGAGTGAATCATGATTGATTGGTAACTGGTAACACAGTAGCTTAGCAGCCAGGCCTGCGGTAGTTCTCCCCAAGACAGAGACAGTCAGGTGCACAAGCACCCATGTCACGAGTTTTGCTTGTCTGCAGCTTGAGGTGCAGTTTCCCCCAAACCCCTGCACTTATCTCCTTGAAGCTTGGCAGGCTTCATGGCCTCAGCAGGGGCCACCACCCCTGCAGTTTTGACCCCCCTGTGTTGTAACACATAGACGTGACATGAGTTCTGCTTTCAAGAATTTGGGGTGCAGTTCCCCCCAAACCCCTGCACCTATCACCTTGAAACTTGGCAAGCTTTTTGGCATCACCAGGGGCCATTATCCCTTCAGTTTTTACCTCCATGTGTTGTAACGCATAGACGTGACACAAGTTTTGCTTTCGAGAATTTGGGGTACAGTTTCCCCCAAACCCCTGCACTTATCTCCTTGAAGCTTGGCAGGCTTCATGGCCTCAGCAGGGGCCACCACCCCTGCAGTTTTGACCCCCCTGTGTTGTAACACATAGACGTGACATGAGTTCTGCTTTCAAGAATTTGGGGTGCAGTTCCCCCCAAACCCCTGCACCTATCACCTTGAAACTTGGCAAGCTTTTTGGCATCACCAGGGGCCATTATCCCTTCAGTTTTTACCTCCATGTGTTGTAACGCATAGACGTGACACAAGTTTTGCTTTCGAGAATTTGGGGTACAGTTTCCCCCAAACCCCTGCACCGATCTTCTTTAAACCTGGCATACTTTATGCTCTCAGTGGAGGCTACCACCCTGGTAAATCTCATCCAAAGATGACAAAAACCAACAAAGTTATAAATATTTCACTGATTCCCCTTTATACCCTATGGCCGGATCTCTCAAGCGGCTCCAAAGCTTTTCCGAACCGCTTCAGAAAGCCTAACAAAGCCAGCGCTTCGACCCAGATGTGCTGCTTTGGACACTGAAGTCTCCGAAGCTTCTCCAGATCCGAAGCACAGTCTGAAGCCTTGCACAGCCCTACTTAGCATTATGTCACTGCCTGTGTTCCTATGTGAAAAGATGAGAAGATCATTTCTTCACTGTTCAAATTGGCTTGGTGCCATTGACTTCCTGGCTTACATAAACTGAGGTTATGACCTTCTATATTAGAGAAATGTATACAAGGGAATAACTGAGTGGACCAGCCACTGGTGTTTATCCCATTGTTTCCTTTACTGGGTGTGTTATGCCAACGAAACAACTGGCGATGGCTCTAACTACCCTTTTCTTCTTTCAGTTGACCAGCGAAAATGGAATTGAAGAGGACGACTTTCAAACCATGCTGCAGAGGCAGAAGCGGGAGGGTGTGTATCACTGACCTGAACAGCCAGTGGCTCCTTATGGGTGACAGAAGAGCAGCTTTCTCAGGGCTTCATTTCTCAATAGTGTGGATTGCAGTGATCAAGCATGGAGGGAGCCCTTAGCAGTTCTGGGTTATGGATAATCATTTGTGACACACAACTCATGTGTTTCTTTGTGTCAAAGGGGACTTTCAGTCTACCCCCTTCACTTTGACTGATTTCAAACCATATAAGTCATTTTTCTGTTGCTTTCCATCCTTTGTGCCTGAGGTCCGAAGAGCGGACCAGGCCCTTGGTCAGCTGAGTAGGCAGAGAGAGCACTCCCATGCAGATACATGCACCATTTGCTGAAAAAAGGGGCCTGCTTGACAGTCATTTGCCCAGGCAAAACCTTTCATTAAGCTATCATTACTGTTAAACAGCTATGAACAATAGAGAAATCAGGCTGCAAGTCTGTTATTATAATCCACTTTAACACGTAGCATTTCAATTTCATCATATTTCTTTCCAGCAGCTCCACTTCGCTATTCCCATTCGGCATACATTGTCAATATTGGATTAAGTTTTACAAGTCCATTGGTACCAATCCAAGATTATTTCAAGAACCTTAGTCTGCCAATCTTAATAAACACCTCGGATTCGATGACAACCATTTCAAACATCAATGTTACAACAGGTGCGTATCTTGAGATCTGTATGTCTTGTGGAGTACAGGGGTTTGTCCATGATTTGATTGCCTTTGCATTTTCATGTAGACATCAGTAAGAGCAGAGCTGCCTGTTCAGAGAAATGAGCAGATGACAGCATGTTCTGTCCTCTGCCTTCCACATCGCTGCTCTTCACAAAAGACTGCCGCTGGCAGCGTGCTGAACAGCGCTCTGTTTCTGCAGAAGGGACACATCAGAGAAACCCCATGCTAAAGCATCTTGTGTTTTTATGAACAAGCAGTCTGATTAACATTTCAGGAAGCTGCAGTTCTGATTATCAAAGTGTTTGCTTCCCACAAACTCACAGTTGGAATGTAAATCACTCAAAGAGGCTTTGTTTTAACCTTAGCAAGAACAACCATTTTTCAGGCTAATTTTTTTCCTGATGGAAATCCTTAAGGCAATATTAAAGGACAATGCTCTGTAAAGGCTTTGTCCTCTGTTGTTGTTATGCAAAATTAGAGCCACAGAATATGTTGAATAATTAAAATATTTGATAATATCTAAGCAGGAAAAGTATTTATAATAGTACAGGGACTGGAATTTGTTTTCTTCTTTCTTATCTCGTGTTCAAGAGGAGTGGAAGGAAGTGCATTCTTGCACAAAATACCAGCACACAATGTGTGTGCTGGTTTCCAAAGTATTTCTGAGCTATATCTAATTTACTAAAACCATTTGGGCCGTCTGCTCTGTTGTCACTTTCATAGTATCATAGTAGCTAGGGTCAGGAGGGACCTGAACAGATCATCTAGCCTGACCCCTGCCACAGGCAGGAGTGAATGCTGGGTTCACAAGACCCCAGACAAGTGATCATCCAACCTCCTCTTGAATTTGCCCAAGGTAGGGGTGAGGACCACTTCCCCTTAAGAACTGTCACTTTGAGAGTTAACTTCAAATTAGCAGCCAGTGGTATGAAGGATGCATAACTTCATGCCTATTGAAATCATGTTGCATTTTAAAGTTTGAGAGAGAGATGTGCTATAATTTTAATGGTTGGTTTCTTATTAACCAGCATCGCTAGACAAAAACCCTAGAGACCAGATTCTGTTCCATCTATTAAGCACTTAAGTGTGATCTTATTCTACCCTCAAGTCCCTAAAAAGTGCCACTTTTGTAGCACATCATCTCAGCTTTAAGACTAAGTCACAAAAAAGCAGTGAGCAGGACCCATCTCCCTTTGGGGTTAGCTGTTTTTCAGGAACTCACAATTAGACACCAAATATAGAATATGATCCAGCTCTATGTGTCATAGAAAACCAGCGTTACCAGCTTTTAGATCCAGTGGTTAATAGCTGGCCTTAAATTTATTCTGGGGATTTGATCGATGATAAAAGACAACAAACCTAGAAGTTGGCACTGGCGAAATTTTCAGTATGCGCTATATATTTAAATAAATGTACCACTTACAGTAAATCAGACTGATCCTTGAACAAGTGTGACATGCCTTTCTAGTTTGCCATTTGTTATTAATAATACAAGCCATCATATAGGCATTCATATACCTTCTGCACTGCTTAAACATTTTGAAAATAGTATAGCTGGGTAACTATGTCTAAGGGAATTGTGACATGCAAAATTTAACCTCTAACTCACCACTATCATAGGTTTTCTGTTTGACACTAGTGTGCATTTCCATGGGGAAAATGACCTGCTGTTTTTGTGAAGAGGGGTATGAATGGCCAGGTGCAGCATACAGTGCCAATGCAACCTGTCCCTCTACCATCCTAGTGCCAGAGCAGACCTGTGGCCATATTATACAATTGCCTTTTCAAGGACCTTATTGTCAGCCACGGCCTGGAAGTAAGAAGGATGTACGGTTGTCTTCATCATCTAACAGTATTAGGGGAGAGATAGGATGTTACTATATATCAGTGCTGGCCAAAATGTGGCGCATGGATCAAACATGATACATGGAGCTACGCTACAGGATGTGTTGTGACTCATATTTTTAATTGTAAATCCCATCTTGCTGAATACACGTCCCAGTATATAATGCTACATTCTGAGACAAGTGGCTTCAACTGGATCATGATCCAGTATTGCTCTCTTTCATGATTATAATCATGAGTCTTGAGATGTTTGGTGTTCTCTCTGAAGCCCCCCACTCCTGGACTCATGGGATTACATGGGTATCACAGCTTTCATGAATACAAAGTAAGTTTCTGCTCATCAGAACTTCAGAGGAAGACTTGAAAATGTGACCAAATGCTCTAAAAAAACAGAAGATAAGAGGAACTCACTGTTTTTATTGTTTTAAAATTCATGACTTTTCAACCAAACTCATGATATTTTGACGCCTGATTCATGATTTTTTTAAACACTCAGGATCGCAAATGTCAAATCAAATCTTGCCTTCTAGGGCTTGGGGGTGACATTCAGTTCCTGTCCTAGTCATCTAAGCACCAGCTTAGGTCTTCTACATGGCTCTACCTTTCCCAACTAAAAGGTCTTGCTCCCGTGCTCAGGGTTAGACTGATCACCGCATTTGAAGCCAGGAAGGAATCGTACCCCATGGTGAGATCAGCTTGGACTGAGAGGGGTTTTGCCATCCTCTATAACAGGGAGTGTGAGTTTCTTCCTTGGATCTCTCCAGTGTATTTTAACAGACCTGCAGTGGCAGGACATCTGCTTGCTTTACCTGTAGCAAGTCATGACATTTTCAGTGTTTGGGGGCATTATGCCTGGTAGCTGTGCACGAAGGTTGTTTGGAATAGGCTAGATGGACACTTGTATATGATAGTCTAGAAAGGAATGATCGATCCTGCCTTGAGCAAGGGGTTGGACTAGCTGATCTTCTGAGATTCTTTCAACTCTACTCTTCTATGACTTGTTGGCATTTTTGGCCCTTTGATGACAAATTTTGGCCATGAAGATGACAAAATTTGGAAATGTAGATGACCAGGCAAAAATATAATGTTACCTTTCCTGTCTCCACAGTTTTAAAACAAAGGGAGGTGCTGTTTTCAGAAGGACTGCACTCCTTTCTCAGACAGCCCATGATCAGAAAATCCCATAGCATGTTAAGCATCTTGCATTCTCTTTTATCCATTGGTTTGGGTCTTAGCCCAGCAATATGGGCGTGGAAGAGGGTGTCTTTCTGTTATTTCCAATGAACTATGCATTTTGCCCTATTTGTCAAACAACTAAGTCTTGGCAAGCTGAGAGATATGGGCATGAATGGAAAGTGAATGAATTTTGAACACAAAGCTAGGAGATGACTTGACCTTGAAAGAATTTTATTTTGAATCTTTCTGTTTTGTTTTTGTGTTTTCTACAGACGCCCCGCCTATGAACAAGTCCATCACAATAATAATGTCAGTCAAACTCGATATAAATTTTCAAGATGCCCTCAGGAATCCTTCTTCTGATCTCTATATGAAATACAAACACGACTTTGAAAAAGCAGTATGTATTTGGCTTTTACAATCAATTTAATTTGCAAAACATACTTCTCTTCATTCTGTTCATTCAGCAGTTGGTGTCCAGTGAGTGGGTTTCTTGCTAGATGAGTAATGGCAGCATTAAAAATATACCCTGGTGATTGGTAGATGCAAAGATTGATAAAAATTAAATTAAATTAAATTAAATTTAAAAAGCAAGCAAGGACCTATAGCATTGACTGCTAGTAATAGAATTTCTCAACATATCTATTTTTGGAAACTTAGTTGACATTAAAAATACCTGGGTCTTGTATAGTCCTTTTTATCTGCAGATCTAAACGACTTCACCGAGAAGGTAAGTAGTATCCCCATTTTACAGCTGAGGAAACCAAGGCATATGCAGAAGTGTCTTTGCCAAAGTCACCCAGCAGGCCCATAGCAAAATAGGAAACGGAGGCCAGAGGCAGAATCCTGTTTCAGTTAACATACCTAAACAGTGCTTTGCTACATAATTCCTGTTTTTGGCACTTGTACAAAGTTAACAATCCTATTCCACATTCAATGTGGACATATTTGTCTCAGTTCTTTCTATATAAAACAGGCCCATTAGCAGTTTTCTGTCTCACAGAGATGTTGGAAGACCAAAGACACTAATTCGGTGACCTGTGCAAGTCCCATGATAACCATCTCCCACTCCCATTGTCTATGACCAAATTGCCATTGATTTCACTGAAGCAGGTACACAGTAAAGTATTCAGGATGCTCCAGCATAAAAGACACTGAAAATGTCAAATTATTCCTGAGGGTTATTTCTTTTATTGGACCGACTGTATAGTTGGGGCAGAGGTAGACAAGCTTTCAAATGCAAAATAATATGCCCTGATTCTAATCTCCATTAAGATAGTCTAAATCAGGAATAACTCCATTGAAATCAATGGAAGTGAGACGGATGCCAACCAAATTATATCAGAGTGAATATTGATTCTTTGACCAAGTCAGTGCTCTGATTAGAAATGAAATAAGTTAAGCTCTGTAAGAACATGCAGAGGATTCACACTGCGCACTGTGTTTCTTCTTTCTAGTTTACAAATGCCTATCAACATTTGCCTGGCTTTATATCAGCCACAGTTACAGGCTTCAGGTAAGGAAACTAGGTATTTTTGCAGACAAACAAGAGCCCTTCTGCCTTGGGGTTTGATGAGGTGTTTCAGCTTTGCCTTTGTCTGGGTGTATTATTTGCGTGCTTTTCCAAGGAAACACCAAAACAGGAGTTGCCCAGAACTGGGCGATAGTTTCTGGGGCTGAATGCAATGGTGAGGTCCATGCCATCTCTGCAGAGGTCTCTGAAGCTCTGGTTTCTGGCAAGCTCCACCTCTCCACCCCCACTGTACCTACACCAACTGCCAGGAAGGAGGAGATGAAGCTGTTCTGCTGATGCTCTCAAGCATGCTGGAGACCGAGACCTTGAGCATGTCAGCAGCGGAGGAAGTATGCCTGGAGAGGGGCTTTGCTACATCTCTTCTGGGTTTAGCACCTGTGGAGCAGGTGGATGCGTTGGACTTGAGAGCAGAGCTCCTGAGACCTCTGCAAAGATGCCATAGACACGTCCCAGTAGAAATGTAGACAGATGGGAATCCCCAAAGTTAGCGTGAAAATGGAGCTTGTACACTGGCTTCTGTACTGCTTTGACACTCCAAACAGGACCAAGGCTATTCTTAGGCCTCCTGCTACCTCTAAAGCACAAGTGTATCCCATTCAACAGGAACCAGACTCTATGTGAGCTCAAAACCGGCTCATGAGAGGGTCATACAGTCCCATTAGTTGAGCTCAGACTCAGGTGGTCAGACAGGACCTGAGAGTCACTGTTGTCACCATCCTTGTCATATGCATGTCCATCCTTCCCTTGGAAACCTCCAATGAAAGAGATTCCCCAGCTTCCCTAGGCAGCTTGTTTGCTCCCAGCTTTGAATATAAGAAATATTGACTAAGAGCGCCTATACACGTGCAGTGAGGCTGCTCTGACATGCTATAATTACAGCCTTAGTCGAACAAACTTTGGTTAAAGTGCCCCTGCTGCCATTTTTCAGTACAGGGACACGTGTTAAACTAAAGCTTTAATTAGCTTTAGTTAAAGCTAATTGAACTAGCTTTAGTTAAAGCAGACTTGATTAATTGAGTCTGCTGGAGTGTGGTAATTACCTTGCTCCAGCAAACTCTAGCGTCATGTGTATCAGCATCCCTGTGCTGAAAAATGGCAGCAGGGGTGCTTTAAGTAAAGGTAGTTTGATGAGCTTTAGTTAAAGCATCCCCAACAGCATTTTTCAGCATGGGGACACTGATACACATGATGCTCCAGGCACTTTAATTAGAGCATCTCTCAGAGCCACTCTAATTAAAGCACTCCCCCTCCCCACCCAGTTCCCAAAGCACATCTATACACTCCCTAAAAGACAAGTATTAGCACTTTTCTAAAACATAACTATTTAAATGCTTGTATCTATTTAGGTCTGGAAGTGTTTCTGTGGACTATGAAGTAAAAACAGCTTCAGCAACATTAACCCAACTTGAAAATGCCAGCAGAGACGTACTGAACTCAGTAAATGCATCATATATGATCACCCCTAATTCTTTTGTTGTTTCAGCAGTCATAACTGGTAAGACTTAAGCTGCAGCACTTGTACTATGAATTTGCTTTCAGGTTTGCAAGCAATGTATATACAACTGTCTCTTGCTGTTGAATACGTTAGACCACATCTTCCAAAGAGCTCAGCTTTTGTGAAGGGAATGAAATGAAAGACTCAGATAGCCAAGAACATTTACCCCCAGTGTCTCCCAGGACAACAATATTCCTGTAAATTCATCACTAAATCCCAGCACAGTCCCTCCATGGGCGATAAACTGAATATTGTGCAGTTCACGGTAAAGGGTTATCGTGACAGAACCTCATATGCTAATGGCTGAAAACCGAGGCAGCACAGGTCAGATCCCCAGCACTTGCCGGATCTGTAAGACTCTCAAAACACATTTCACTAGAGCTGGGATTTGCAGTGCTATCTCTAACCAACATTGCCAGTCCACTGGTGGAAACCAGTCACTATCATGAGAGGCAGTGTGGTAGAGCAATTGATTGTGACTCAGGAAATTTGGAGTCTTTGCATAGACCTGTCACTGTCCTGGTGGCTCACAGTAGGCAAGTCATTTTAGCAATCAGGGACCGGATGGCATTCACTGCCATTATTTTATTCAATGGCTAGGCATTATGCTATCATACATTGTATGATGCCTTGTAGAAGTAAATGCATATCAGTGCTATCGCATTTAGTGATGCTGACCATATATAGTTTGCAAAGCATTTGGGGTTCTTTTGAGACAGGAGGCACTGAGTCAATATGAGTTGAAGTCAGTGAAATAGCAGGAGGGGGGCTAGTGGGGTGACCGCCCTGGGCACTGAAGCGAAGGGGCACCAACAGGCACTGCCTAGCTGGGGTGGGTCAAGGGACAGAGCCACAAGTGACTCATTTGGGGAGGCATGGGGATGGGAGAAGGGTGGCTCACACTTCTGCATGCACTCCCAGGCAAGCATGGGGGATCTGTGCATGGGGCAAGAGTGGGCTGCCATTGTAGCTTTTGCCCTAAGGGCCATGCTTTGTTGCTACAACACTGGTTGAAGTAATACCAATACAACAGACTTGTTGCCTTACCAGATCAAACAGACTTCTCTGTGTGTCCTGCTGACATTTTTGAGGGGGATACAGTAATAATGACATGCCAGACAAAGTTAACTTCCTGGAACGTAACTTGGGATCATTCTGGACAAGTCGTTTCACAAAGCTACCGACATTCAATTCAATCAACAGGAACAGAGTCAACTCTGAAAATTACCAACTTTGCACAGAATGACAGTGGTATGCTTATATGGCTCTTGCTAAATCATATATATGCAATGGGGCTGCAAGTAATTTTATAGAGAAACAAAGATGAATGTGATGATTTGCTGATTGCTTGGTCATAGAATCATAGAGAAGTCGGGCTGGAAGGGACCTCCAGAGGTCATCTAGTCCAACCACCTACCTGAGGCAGGATCATCTCTATTCAAACCATCCCATAAAACTGTAAACTCTACACAAGACTACTTTCAATCCTGACACAACATAGACCTAGCATCCTTACCTGCCACAGATAAAGCAGGGGAACCACAGCAGCCAATGTCCTTCTTCTATACAATGTTGTCAATATATGCTCAAGAGGTCCAGGGTAAAGGGCCATGCTGCCCACACCTGCCCTCCCCCCACCACAGAGTTTGTACCAATCTGACCAGGGGGTAAAATTCCTTCCTGATCCCAGATATGACGATCAGTCTGACCTTGAGTGTAGGGGAAAAACTCTAGCCAGGAACCTCTGGCTTGACTCCTAGCAAGAGAATTGGCATACCCGAGTTGAAGTCCCCAGTCTTAGCTGCCCCCAACACTTAATGACTCCAGAGAGGCTTAAAACACCCTGACACGTGTATCAGAAACGGGGGGCAGTAGAGCCAGATGAGCTTCATCTAAGGGTCCTGAAGGAACTGGCAGAGGAGATCTCGAAGCCCTTGACAATGATCTGCATGAAGTCATGGGAAACAGGCCAGGTCCCAGAGGACTGGAAAAGGGCCAGTGTACTGCTCTTCTTTAAAAAAGGCAAAAAGGAGGACCCCAGGAACTACTGACCAGTTAGCCTCACCTCCGTACCTGTGAAATTATTGGAGCATATGCTAAGGAAAGCCATTTGCAAGCATCTGGAGGAGGAAAGGATGATTTGCATTTTGGATAGGGATGCCTCAGGGCAGGGTGTTTGACCGGATGATCTCTGTACATCCCTTCCAGCCCTTACTTCTCTATGATTCTTTGATTTCATTTATAAAAATGGAAGGAAAATCTACTGTCTCCCAGCACTTATCTCTGCTTTGCTTTAATGAAACAGCTACAGAGTGCCAAGATAACACCTTGGAAGACAGTAGCTTAAGGTTATGTAGTAAATTAATATGTTTGTAACATTTTACAAATAGGTGATAGCTGAGTGTTTAGTATTAGGGAGGGAAAGCACATGGAGGAACATTAGTCTGGGGGTTAAGACTCTTGAGTTCCAGTCCTGATTTTGACGCTGACCTGCTGTGTGATGAACAAGGCACTCCATCTCACCTGTGAAATCCTGGAGTGATGATACCTCCTTTGCAAATTGCTTTAAGATCTGCAGGTGAACATGTCTGCATAAAAGCTAAGTATTAGAGGGGCTGAACATGATCAGAGCAATAGGCAAGGTTTTCTGCATTTGTATCATATAAACCCAAATCCAAGATGACTTTGAATTTAGGGCAATCCCCCAATAATTAGATTTAAAACATGGAAAATGTGTAAAAGTGCTATAATTGTCCATGTATAGAATCTAATTATTGGAGGGTCATCTAAAATTCATCTCGCCATCTGCTGCAGCGTGTCAAGCAGCAGCAGGGCAGGGAAGCGGTAAGGGGGAGACAAAGGCAGTGGCGGGAGGGAGCAGAGCCTGGGGGAATAGGTAGCAGGGCAGCATCTGCAGTACCAATCCCAAGCCTGGGCTGGGGCTACAGCTGGAGTTGCAGCAGCCACCTGCCCTCTTCCCCACCCCCCAATTGTGCTCAAATCCAAGATAAGGCACTCCCCCCCCCCCCCATTTTGAATGGCAGGGTTGGGGGGGAGAACCTCATCTTGGATCTGGGTAAATACGGTGTTTGGCCCTGATTAAGGAGACAGTTGAGAATGCAAGAGGGCAGAGCAGATGAGGTGCCAGCAATCAAAGCAAGAAATGACAAAGAGCAGGGCAGTGTGATAGGAGGAAACAGGTGGGGCTTAAACAAGCAGTTGAGAACAATCCAGCTGTTCGGGTGGGGTGGAAGACCAAAAGGAGTCTGGTGTGAGAAAGCAGGAAGAAGGGCAATGAGTATACTTGAAGGGAAGAGGAGGCGAGATGTCCACAGGAGGAGATGGGTCTGGAAAACATGAGTACTATGTGCAGTATTGTTGTTCCCCCCAAAACAATGCTCCAACTGACTAACCAAATGTCCTTACAGGTCCCTATACATGTGTGTTTAAAGACTCTGCTGCACCCTCCGTGTTGTACAAAGCAACCCACAATTTAACAGTTGCTGCAATAAACATTGTATCATCAGATAATATTGATGTTGTATGCGAGAGGGTCGATGTCTTGCTCACCTGCTGCACTGACAGAAATTTACAGCCATCTAATGTAAAGTGGTCTGTAAGCGGACAAATGGGTATTTTAGGTAAGGACAATAATACTCTTTTCCATACCAAACCTCCCCTCTGTATTTGCACCTGAAAACATGCAGCTGTTTTGTATGCATACCATAAGTCAAGGAGTGTTGCACAAAACCAGGTTAAACATTCCCTTTTACCTCATCCTTGACATAAGCCTGCTTTGGGGATCACACTGACAGCTGATTGGGATGGCTCTAAATTATGCCAGCTGCAGCTGCCAAAGAGGGTTAGAAGCAGTAAGTGTTCAAATGGATGATATTTGAGGTTGTGTTACTGCAAATACTTATTTAGGGCCTGAATCTGAAACCCTTCTTGCTAACTTCCGCTCATGCATCCAAGCAGGGTTGGGTCCTTGATCAGTCAAAACACAGTTGGTCAACTGACCAGTCAAATACTATTAAATAATGATCACATATTCTAAGCATGAATTTATTTGAACAATGTCAAGAGAGACTTTAATCTTCAGCATGATAGATACTTTAGCTAACTACAAAAAAAAGTTAGTTAATGGCTATCGTGAAACAATGACATTAAATTCTAATAAATTATGATGAATTAATCAGTGTTAGATAAGTGTAAATGGGAATGATCTTCAAGACTGAACAATTCTTCTTTTCCTCGGCTTCTATCCCAAAACCCCACGGTCAGCCTGAACACTTACGAAATATATTTGAAAAGAAATGAAACTGAGAGAAGACACAAATAGCAGCTTTTAAAATCACTTTTATAATGCAGCTCTGCTATGTAGGTAACAGGCCAATGCTTCAAGCATCTTGCTCTTTGCAGGATGCTTACAGTCAGAGCAGATGGCCAGGAGGGGAAGCTGCTGGTTTTGGGCTCTTCCTTCAGCCCAGAGTAGCTCCTGCAGTCCTACCTGGCTTAATGGGGGAAGGGGAAGGAGGGTAGAAGAGCTCAGGTAAGAGGAGTAGGGCAGGAGGTATCTGCTCATGAATGGGGAGAGAGAGAGAGTGAGAGTGTGTGTGTGTGTGTGTGTGTGTGTGTGCACGCATGTGTGTCCTGACTCCTGCAGGACTGAGCAGCAAGGAGCCCTTACACCTGCCCTTGCTTACAGTGATGCAATAAAAAGGTAGGCCTGTCCACTGGCATTCTTGACTTCATGGACTATTTGACATTTTTTGACTGCAGTCAAATAATAGGTGGCATAACTAGGACAGGGTGACTGGGGCAGCTGCCCCGGGTGCCAACTTGGACAAGAGAGGGTAGAAAAAAATGGTCACTATTTGTGCAATTGCGCAGCACATCAGCAATTAAAAAGCCTCCCTTTGCTTGGCAATTACTCTGTGCCCTGGCCTCCTTATTACACCGCCACTGTCCAAGTATGCTCTGCTCATCATGGGTAAGGATTGCATAGCTGAGGAGTGAAGAGATCTAAGGTACTTGGTCATCTTTCAGGGTCACTACTAGCTTGTGCAATTTGGGTCCAATTCTGAACTCTATGCCACTGCAAAGTTCGCCCAAGTAAAGGCTGAATGTGAACTTCAGGATGTGCCAGCTAAAAAACTGCCAAAGAAAATGTTTCAATACTTAAGCCTTTTTCACAGCAGCACAAGTCCTTGTGGATGTGAGAGACCTCAGAAACAACTTTATCTTTATTTATTTCACCCTAGGGACTGCAACCACCAAGGACAACTGTAGTAACTACCGCCTTGAAATTCAAGATTACCATTGCTCCCCTAGCAAGTCAGGTACTGTGACATCGTATACGTGTGAGCTGAGCACTGGGAATGGGGCCCGCAGAAGTAAAGTCATCGAAGTGACATATTTACAAATAGGTAAGGATCCTCCTGAGAGTACCACAGGGCAGGAACTGCCTCTCCCTGTCGTGTATTGCCTGCATGTGGCACCACATACAAAAGGCTAATTATGACAAGGCGTTGTTAATAATATGTCATTTATCTTAATTTTCTAGCAAATATAACGATATCTCCACCCACAAATGTCTCTGAGGGATACAATTTTTCATTAACGTGCACCAGTAATGTGATGAATTACAATAAAGTCATCTGGGAAATCCAGATGGGAACCACTAATACAACAATAGAAAGTGACCCGTACATCCAAACTTACACAAACCAGACGGAAGCCGAGTCTGTTCTCACAGTAAAGACTGCCACGCTGGAGTGGAACGGTGAGTGCAGGCTCCAAATCCTGGTTTACACGGGCAGCTCGTGTTACCAAACCACTGGAAAACTAGGAGTCCCAACTGGCGGTGGTTTAGAAGTCAATTAGAACTTAGCCCATAGTCACTTAGGCCTTGATCCACAAACATTTAACCACCTAGCTCCTACTGAAATAAGAGTAACTTAACTCACCTAAATATTTCCAGTGTCCAGATCTGAGCAGTCCAATTTGACTTTCAGCTGACTGACTCCCTAGGGACAAATTTACAGAGGTATTTAGGTACTAAAGCAGGCAGATAGGTGCTTAGTGGGATTTTCAAAGGAACTGAAGTGATTCTAGCGGGATGAATGCCTTTACCGGGACTACTTGCATGATTAAAACTGGGCCACACTTTAACGTTTTGCTGAACAGCAGCTTAGAAAAGTTTTATACAACATCTGTGTCACCATTACCTGCCACACAGCGTTACTGTCGTCTCTTGAGGTGGCACTGGCTGTTCTTCCACAACCAACTTCTCTTGACGTGGAGTTTTGCAATATGCCAAGCTGTAGACCCAGATCCAGGTCATAGGCCCTGGATACTTACAGGTCTAAGTAGGGTACTGCTGGTGCCTCTCTAAGAGCTGTGATTAATGGTGTGATACATAGAAACTACACAGCTTCTTTTGGCAGCAGGGCTGCAGCAGTCATGCACATTGCTAAAGATAACACTGAACCATGTGGATCTTACCTAACTTTTTACCTGTTCCTGATCTGCAGGCATAGGACTTACTTAGAGACAGCCTGCAGTTTCTACCTCTCCCCACATCTGTGTGTCACCTTTATGGCAAAACAACCTCTTCCCCCTTCCCTTTCTTTTCTAGATCCATAGTCTTTCCC